ATAAAGTTGGTCAATATCAGATCGACCGGGCCAAAGTGCTTCACCTGTAACCATTTCAGCGAAAACACAACCAATTGCCCACACATCAACTGGTGGCCCATATCGTACAGCACCTGTTAGTAATTCTGGAGAAACGTTAATAAGAGATGATAAAATATGTTAATTGGACTGAGAAGAATTGTGGCGATGAAATAAAAAAGTGAAACATTTCGAATTAATATTAACAACCAGTAAAATTAGGAAACTTTAACAATTAATAATGTCCTCTTAATCCAATTATCATTTCCCGAAAAAAGAATATGGTTTTGTAAATATAAAAATAAAAATACCAAGTTAAAAGACAGAAGAAAAAATTAGTGCACCTGGACTCCTGTACCAACGTGTACCCACATAATCCGTGTAGAAATCACTCGTATCTAAATGTTTTTTTTTTTTTTTTTTTTTTTTTTGTTTATTTTCTGTTTCAGTTGATCTAATAGAAAATGTAACATTGACTTGCTAATATATGCAAATAATCTTTTAGAAACCTTTTCAGCATCACAAAAATATTGTTTCAGCCAAGAATTTAGCGAGAAAATTAAATGTTTAAAACATTGTAGCATAAAATATATTCAGAATTAGTTGCCATCTTAAATGATATAAAAATTTTAGTCGAGAAGATAATTTTCATAATTATTGATCGCATTAATTACAAATACTAATAACGATTAAATTTAAGAAAAAATAAACTAATTACTAGATTACTTACTTATCATTCGGGCAAAACCAAAATCAGCCAATTTTACCACATCATTTCTCGTTAGTAAGATGTTTTCTGGCTTTATATCACGATGAATGCAATTAAATGTATGGCAGTATTCTACTGCTTGCAATAACTGATAGATTGTTTTTTTAATGAATGCTTTTGGGCATCTGAAAAATTCTTTATGCTTCATTTCTCGAAATATAACTTTTGATTGAGATATGAGTTAATAATGAGAAGTTATTTTATATACTAAATTAATTACTCTGTAAAGATATTGACTCGTCTGATGATTTCATTTAAATCAGTTAACTAAATATTTAAATGCTATTATATAAATATTATTTTGGCAAAAAATATCGTTTCTTACCCATTTTATGTTTTTTTTTTTTTTTTAAAACTAATTCAATTTTTTAAACAATTTTTCTAAATTTTTTTTTGAACAATTAACCATCTTTGTTTTTTATTTAAATTTTTTAAATGAAAACATGAAGTGACCAGTAAAAAATTTGATTTTATCATCGTGACCAGTAAATTTGATTTTTTTATTACTGTAAATTTTAGATAAGTTAGGAAAAAATTGAGCGACAAAGTTTTTAAAATAAAATAATGTTATTTAGCATATTAATTGTTGCTTGCTTGGCTCTCGAACGAAACGATACATTTTTTTTTGTTTCGTTGGAAGTTTAAATGTGACAAATTAGTAGATTGAAGTTCAGATTGATAATAAGTTTCAATATTCACTATTTTTTTTTTTTTATTTTCTCAATAATATTTATGTTTGGCAAATAAAACAAACCCATTGGGATATTTTTCCAATTCATTTAAAACGGTCCTTTCGCAATATTCAAAGACCAAATGCAATTTTCGATTCCTTTTAAAAACTTTAATCAGAGCTATCAAATTTGGATGTTTCAAATGCTGTAAATATTTGAAGATATTAAATAATATTAAAGTAAGATTTTCCTGACTTGATACCATCTTCAAAACCAAAAATTCATGCTAACCTTTAACATTCGAATTTCACGCAATGCAATTTTTTTTGTTGTTGGATTATCTTCTGATTCAATGAATTTCTTAATTGCAACAATCTAAATTAATTTCTATCAAAAAATTTCTATAAATTTAAGCAATTTTATACATTTCACTTTAATTCTAACAAATAAAGAACGACAAGGGATTAAACAAGAAGCTAAAGAATTGCGCATAATTTCAAACAATTAATATACTTTAAAATGCTTGTGTGATAATCAAAATTTATTTCTATTGCTTTCAACTTATAGAAACTCGCAAATTTAAAGAGAACTCAAAATGCTAAACAATTGTTTCTTTCAATATTTAACAGGAAACAGGTGAGTGTAAAAAATTAAATCTCACATTTTGGAACAAAACTTTGGATATATATATATATATAGGTATGAATAATATGAAATTTACCTGTCCTGTTTCCTTATTACGACACTTATAAACGATACCGTAAGAACCTTCACCAATTTTTTCTAATTTTTGGTATTTATCCATTATAAATCTTTGTTTCAATTTCACCAAAAAATACTTCAGTTAGATATAAACAATAAACTGAAAGGATTTCTTAATTACAAACAAAATTTTATACCATTCATTGGAAATTTTTATAATAAGAAAAAAATTCGTAAATATTTGATTGCGAAAGAAAATAGTAAATATTAAAATTTAACAAATTATCAGATATTTAAGGAAACTTAAATCAAATATTCTTATAGTAGCTATTAAACGAGTAATTTTGCTCTTTGTAAATTGATTTGAAGTAATAAAAGATTCGAAAATGTTTTGAGAAATTTAGCAATACCAAGAAGTTTCTCAATAATTCAATAAAGCAGCTCTGTTCAAGATTTAATAAATTTAAATCAAAAATTTATCAGAGAATGGAAAACGCTAGAAAAATATACAGTTAGTCAAGTTTCTTCAAATAATATTAGCTAGAAGTGCACTTCATTTCCCTCAAAATGACTACAATAATATTAATTATAATTCATTCTAGATTTTGTTTTTAAATTTGTTTTTCAATTTAGTAATTTTTGATTATTCGTACACAATAAATTTGATTTTAAAAACTTGTTATAGCTTAAATTTCAGACTTATACAAAATTCGATGATGAAGGTAAGCTTGAAACTTCCACTATTAATTTCATTTCAACGCATTTATTAATTTAACTACTACTGACTTATACTGTGGCCTATACTATCTCCTAAAACTTCCAATAAATATTTCCTTGATAAGGAAGTAAACAAAAAATGAAATTTTAAATAGAATTTCATGAAATCTACCATGATGATAAAGTGGACAGTAATAGTGGTCAGGAAAAAGTATTCCTCAATGTTGCATTTCTTAGAAAAAATAATTGAAACAACAAGTTTTAAACTGAAACTTTTTACTTGCCAAATTGACTCAATCAATATTTTATACAAATAAACAATGTAATTCAGAGTGCTGCTAAGAAAATAAAATCGGATCATTGTTAGGATGTTGTCATAACGACCAACTATAAATTTCTGTTTTTTTCATTCTTGCAAATGAAAGTTAGCAAGCACTGAACAAATTTTTATTACTAATTACTTTTACAACATTTATTTTATAGTTCATTCTAGAAAAAAAAATCTATGGAAGACTTTATATTTTAACAGTAAAAATCAAAACAAATCCAAACTACACACTAAACAAACTGATAATATTAACTCGATAAGGAAAATTTGTTTAGAATTCATTTTTTGATGATTAATAGTAGTAGCGTTTTTAGAACCGGAAATTGATGAAATTAAGGTGTTGCAACTGGGTCATTTTCAGTTAGCAAATTTCATCTTAGCGAAGAATTTTCAGTTAATTTGTTGAGTAGTTTAAAAATCTGATATGGAAAATTATATTACATTTGTTATTTCTCAAAATCTGGGAAATTCTCGAGTTAATAATCAGTCTGAAATTTTTTACATAAGAAAATTCTGCGATATTTCAGGAAATTCTAACAGTTTTTAGAATTCCTGAAAATTTTACCTCAAAAAATTTATTTGGCATCAATTGTTAAGATCTGAAACTACCTTTACATTAAACGATTAGGCTTTATCTTTTCATCCATTCCTGTTCGCTGTCGATTTTTTTTTTTAGTTTTATTAATGTTTCAATTATAAAATTATTATTAATATTCCAATATATGAAATAAAACTTCACCTTTCCACTTATTTTACTAATCTTTTAAATAACAAAAATTTTGAACTCAAATTTTTTTATTTGGAAACATTCTCAAATACGGCTTAAAATTCATTCGAAAATAAGTTGTTTGTGATTTCATGGACAAAACAATATGATAAAGTGTTTCTTTACCAAATAAATAATGCTCACAAATGCTTAGAAAGCATGTGAATTTATAATAAAAGCAAGATTTAAAACATTATATAGCAAAAGAAAATAATGTCTGATAAGTGACGGAATGAAACTTCAATTTTATCAAATAACAACTTCTAATGACCAATGTGATGCTAAAATCTTTATTTTATTTTCACTATTAAACTGTTAAAGTTTTTTAGAATTATCTGTTAACTTTAAATTATTTACTTCTAAAATATTCAAATATTCAATATGTAAACAATAACCGATAAAAACTCAAGATTAAAAGTTTAAAAAATGTTGGTCTATGGGAGATCAAAGAGCAGCATTTACATGCTTATTAAGCTTAGTAACAGACGTAAAAAATTTTACTAATGGTTTGTAAATCTAAATAATGACTGGAATGAAACTACAGCAAAAAGTTAACAAACGGAATATAAGGAAATTTAATAAATTATCATTACTTCACATGAAATGACATTTAAAAGATGCAAAAGAAGTATAAAAAAGATAAATGTTCAGTTGTCAATAAGCAAAAATAATTATTATTGCAATATTAGAAATATTTAAAGATACACCATTCTTTCACTCCTTATCATTTATCACTTATTACTACGTCAAAATTTTGTTTCTTCATTCAAAAACTGTATCAGTTTTTTTGAGCACTGCTTTAAATGTTTCAAAAATTCAAGTTCAGCTTCTTTTAGACTTCAATAAAATTTGCGGTTGCTATATTCTTATTATTGACTTATAGAACATTGATATAAATTTTATTATTCAGTTGATTTAGCCAGTTTAAATGATTATAAATATCTAATTGCAAAATGTAAATACTAATACAAAATTCACTAAAATCTTTTGATACATTGAACAAAATTTTAATTACATAAAAAAAATTTTTCAGCGCTGTAAATATTTCGATATAAATTCGATAATTTCATCAGCGTATTTTGCATTCCAAATCATTCGCCTGTTAATATCAGCTCGAATATGAGAGATGACAGGTTTTAATTTTTTCATTAATGGAGCATATTTTTTCTCGAATATATCCAACTGAAAAAATTTTTTTTAATTAATATGTTTTTGAGATTTTTCTTTTGTTTTCAATTTTTATAGGTTATCAAGCTAATGATGAATATGAAAATATCATCGAGAATGATAATATAAAAACTTGAAAAATTCTGACGATCATAATTATATTGTTTAATAATTTATTTAAAAGAAAAGAAAAATAAATAAATATAGGATAGTATTTATTAGAAGCTTTTTTCAGATCTTTGATTCCTTCAAAACTATCAAAATTTATCAGTTAACTGATATGTACTAATATTCAATCCTTTTTGCTTGCTTTACTTCGCATAGCTATCAAATCATTATTAACCTTTTGCAAATCATCGTTTGTGCCATAACCTCGTGCCATCTGAAGCATGAAGAAAGGTCCATACTTCTCGTGTCTATAATTTAGAAAGTTTTCATTTTAATTATTTCTTGTATCAAGTAACATTAATCAAAATAAAATGACAGAAAGATCAAGTAATGAAAGAAAAAATTACCTCTTAAAAAGTTCAGCAAAATTATTAAATAAATACTGCCCAACTGCTCCATTATCATAATTTTTCCTAAAAGGAAATTTTTTTGCTTTTGTTAATTTTATAATAAGTTATGACTCGGAAAAAGTTGAGTCAAATAATTAATCAGTAATTTTTTTTACTAAATGAATTTAACAAACCTTGAAAGTTCGTATAATTTGGGTCGGAAATCAGTATCTTTCTCTTTCTTGGTTAATACTTCTTTTACCAACCTAAAAAAAGGAGGGCGTTACAAAATTTTCAAATTCATGAGTAGAAAACAAGGACTATTTCACTTTTAATAAATGAATTGACAATTGAATTCGAATCAAACTTAATATTTAGAATTAAGTTCGAATTATTTAACTGTCTAGGATTATTATTTAAACAAAATTGGATATCACAATCACTTACACTTCAATGTAAGAACGATTAGAGCTGCTAGCAAGTGCGGAAAAAATCCTATCACGCTCGACATGATATTCTTCTGCGTGAAATTTATTGATCATAAATGTCAATTCCGCTTGATTGCCATATTTGGATGCTACCATATAAGCGATATTACGTAAGCTTGCTTCTAAGCTTAAACATATAATTAAATTACTGAACTTTTTGCTGCAATAGATAATGAAAAAATAATTCTGTCACTTATCTATGAAGGGACCTATTCAGTCTTTTATTAAATATTTTATAAAATAAATTTTGCTGTTATAGAATTATTGCTGTTATGCCAGGAAGGATAATATCACTATTGTTTTGTCCCATATTATGATAATTCATTTTTTGTATGTCATTAAGTAGCAGCCTGAAAAGATTCAGCTCAGAAAAGTAAAAACAAAAAATGGATTCTGGAGAATAGAAACCACATCGTTCTCTCTTCATATCTTTTTGTTTTAATTATTAGTTATATTTTGCTTTTTCCTGACCGTCAGGTATCAATCTTTTACCTTTTCTTTTTCCGTGTTCTCAAATCTGTAGTAAAAAATTTCACTTATCATATTTTACAGTGTTATCTCACATTGAATACAAGTAAAGTTTTGTTAGTTATTACTTCTTAACGAATGATAGATTCCCACTGCCATTGAATTTAACAGTACCCACAAGGATACGAAAGAAATTGAAAGGAAAATTGGACCCTAAAGAGAAATATTAAGCAATTCTGAGATTAAGTTAAGTAATAACTTTAGCAATCATCAAATATTCCTGCTGGCAATAATAATTATAAGTTCCGTTCTACCTATTGCAAGGATTGCTAAGCATTTCCTGCGAGCAATTGTCGTAAAGTTCGTTCAAGCGTGATCGGAATATCCGGACACATCGTTGATATCCACTGGCGCACATTTTGAGATATATTAGCTCCCTTATAAATCTGAAGAAGAAAAAAGAATTCACAAAGATTCCGGAAAACAAAAAATATTCCCTTTTCATCACTCTTTTCCATATTAATTCAATTGCACGTACACAAGTCTAACATTAAGAATGACAAATAATTCACAATCATTTTGTTAAATAACATTCTGTTTTTCATGTTATAAGCAAATAGATAAAGTAAATGGAAAAGTAATACATTTACTCAAATTAACGGAAAAGTAATACACTTACTGAAATTAACGGAAAAGTAATACACTTACTCAAATTAACGGAAAAGTAATACACTTACTGAAATTAACGGAAAAGTAATACACTTACTGAAATTAACGGAAAAGTAATACACTTACTCAAATTAACGGAAAAGTAATACACTTACTGAAATTAACGGAAAAGTAATACACTTACTGAAATTAACGGAAAAGTAATACACTTACTCAAATTCCATATTGTGTGAAACATCTGAATCAGTTTCAGCTTTAATAATTCGATCAAACGATGGCTCCATAAGAAATTGTACGTATTTCTGCAATTTCGAATAATTACGGCCAAATCAAAGGATTCCAACACGCTGCACCTCATCTGTCCCAACTTTCGGGAATGGTCTGAAAGTGGTCGACGAGTGACAACTTGAATTTTACAACCACGGTTGCAGCAGTTCGAGTGCCATCCATCCATCAGACAATTCAACGGTAACATTGATCAACTCTAACATACATAAAGATTCAATCTCTAAAATGATAATCTCAATTGAAAAGGAAAGATTTTTTTTCTTTAAAAAATAAGAATTACATTGAAAAGTGATGCATTGGAATGACGATGTACACGGTATAAGATAGTTTCGAATCGAGTTAGAAAGGTAATAAATGGTACAACTTTTGTTTCATTTCTAAGATATAGCGACATTTTCATTGGTATTGTATATGGAATGCGTCCAGTTTCAGCTAATACAAATGCATCATCTGAAAAACTGAAAATTTTAATTTTTTAAAAATTAAAATAAACAAATCAAATCTTACCAAACATCAGATTCAAAATGATTGCTTTCAACGAAGGAAGGTATTTTAGGTTAAGTAAATGAATAAAAGAACTAATAAGCTACCGAGTAATTTAAGTCGCGTAGAAACAGAAAAATAATTATGTTTTTGTAGTAAATGATCAATAAGAAACTTCCAATAGTTAAGTTCATATTCGACGCGATAATAACCGTGAAAGTTTGGATCTAACACAAATGTATGCGATCCATGCAATAGTTTCACTGAAAGTTGTTAAATGATTAGATCAAATGAATAATTCATTTACTTCTTAATATTTTATTTTGTCTAATTATTATTTCTGAAAGCAATGTAATAGCATCCAAATTTAATATTTTGTCTAATGAACTGATGTTTTTTGATCTGTTCAAATGATAAGACAACAAGATGTGACATATGCAGTGTTCATGGGACAATATAAATATTAGGATGACAAAAGAGAGAGATTTACATTTTTTGCCCTCTTCTAACCAATGAACTTCATCTTGCTCATTTTCTTGTGTAAATATCGGCACTTTCCATTGTGTATCAGCAAATTCACTGCTATTATCAAAATCAAATATTTGCTGACTGATTTCAAAATAATCACCGACTTGTCGAACCTAAATAACATATTTTAGTACATTATTCTACTTTATTATACTTTCCATTTATTAGCTTATCTTGTAGAAACAGTAATTGAATATATGATGATAAGAAATTCTTAATCATTTTTAGCTAAAAATGTAAATGTATTTTGTTAATTTGTTACAATAATTTAAATAAAAATTACTGTCTTTGAAATAATTTTTCTCTGTAAGCAATTAAAGTATTTTCTTTATTCTCCTTTCTCCATTAAACTTCCAAATTTTTAAAGAAATTAATGTCAATGTTAAAATGATTTATAATCTATTCTCGTTTCTGCATAATAGCAACAAATTAATTTTGATATGAAAGAAAGAAAAAGTAATAAAAATTAGTAACAGACCTTCAACAGTGGAAATCCTCGTTGGTAAATCCATGAATCAATATAATCATAGACCGAAAAATTAGTACTCAAGAAAGGATCATGATGATAGTCGATTGCCTTGAAAATTCTTCAACGAAAATGGTTGATGAATTAATTATGCAATAAATATTAATAATAAATAAACAAATAAATAAATGTATGTTAAATACATAAAAAGAAAAAAGGAAACTTAGCACTTATTTTGGAATTTTTTTCTATATTTTAAATAAGATTTAAATTGCCACAAATATTTATTTGTATAGTGTAATATAATTTCATGTTTGTTCCTACATTACTTATCAAATATGTCAATTCTTGCTTAAAAAGTTATGTTAATCTTCGAATTCCAATTAAATATTTGAAAAAATATGCTTACTTTGAGAAACTGCTCAAAAAGTCACTCTTTTCAGCGTTTGCATAAGCAAATTCTACCAGGTAGAGATTCAATCCTTGTCGAAATACTTCCTCACCAATTGTTGATTCTACCATACGAATAACTGCCGCTCCCTAAAATGTGATCAAAATTACCAGTGAATCGATGAAGTGAAATAATTACTTATACAATAGTATATTTGTTATTGACACAACTAATATTCCGGTTCTGCTCTTCATTTGTCCTAATCAGTAATGATAAGAAGATCAAATAGCCCAATAAATTGTACAGATGTCTTGTGATAAGTTTCTTTTTTTTTTCTTTCAACAATCTGATTGAAATCAGAGATTTCAAGGTAGCTAAGAAGGAATGACATATGTAATTACAGTAAATACCTTATTATAGATTATTTTGATATCTTGACCGTGTATACGATCACTATTTTCTTTTAAACTTATTGGTTGCGTCATTGTCGCATGTTGATCACTTGACAGCGCTTTTAGCGTGATATCAGCAGCAAAACATTGTGACTGTAAAGTAATAATTATTGCTGAGAATTTCATCAATAATTTCTGTGGATTTATAGATAATGAATAAGACTAGCTGATACTTTCACAAGTTTAACGTGATTCAAGTTAGTTACTTGAAAGTAAGATTTAATTAAGAAATAGGCTTTGATAAAATTTTTCAGAATGCTTATAATATTAGCTATCTCAAACATAGACTTTAATTATAATAGTTAATTGAACTGATGAATTTATTGCTTTGTTTGCAATATATACACAAATCACAAACTATTATAAACAAATTAAAAATTAAATATAAATAAATTCCTGAAATGCAGAAGTTGGCGCAAATATATCTCTAAAAAAAGTACTAATGTGTTTCTTAGTGAATGCAAGATCTGATCTTTCCTTACATATTTTATAAGAGATAATAATACAATGTTTCTGTGACAATTTCGGAAAAAAAAAAAGTTTGCGCAAAATACCATTCGCAGTGTTGTATTTTCAACAAAATCAGCTGCTTTTTGTCCCATCATCGTTGCGAAACCTTCGTTCAACCATAAATCATTCCACCAACGCATTGTCGCCAAATTCCCAAACCACTAAAAATAAAAATTGAAATTTCATAGATTTACTAAGGCTCTCTAATCTATCTTCTCATTAGCTTTGTCTGTTCCAAATAATAATTAGTCTCGGTTAAATGTGTCGTATAATATTTGTGACTTCCGATATTCGTTCCGAATATCTGAACTTCTGTATCCTTCGGAACTATTAGATATTTGAACTTGTATAACCTTTGGAATTATTACTTATATTGATTTTTGTCGAAAATATTATTAAGCATTTCATCCGTTCTGCTTATTTCTTGATATAATTATTTCTTAATTAATATAATTAATTTTTCCTTGTCCCTTGACTAATATTACGGATTGGAAGAGAATTCACCATATGTGCGACTTCGTGTGCAATAACATCTGTCACAACTCTCCTCTCACGTAAACTATTCAGACGTTGGTTATAAAGCATCAACTTTTGGCGTACGGTAATTAACCCCCAATTTTCCATCGCCAAAACACGTAATTCAGGTGCTGTGAAAATATCTAAAACAAAGTTAAATGAAATGGAAACATAAAATACTTTATATTAAACGCAATATATTTTTTAAAATACTTAGAAAGGAAGAAGAGAGAATAAATTTACCATTTTTGTTTATCTTTAATAAATTCAAATTTTAAAATCAATTACAAAAGTCTCAAAATATCATTTGCTAAGGAAAATTTTTTTTTCTTTCATCACTGTAATTAATGTATTAATTAGACATATATAAAAATTATTTTGTAAAATCAAAAAAAAAAAAAATCAGTTAAAACGTTAACTCTGATATTGAAAACTTTGAACAGACCGAGTTTTTTTAGTGGATAAGGAATGGAGAAGAAATTTTCATAATACTTTAACAACCGGCATGCAACATGAAGCGCATAATCGATGTCATATGCCATTGCCGATTGACACCAAACGCGAACCTGTAAATTAGTTTATAATCTGTTTCACTTCAAATTACATTTAAATCTATTTGCAATAAGTTTTAGTGAATGCAGTCTTTATTTTTTGCTTATTTATAATTAGCATTTCAGTTTTTGGATGATATGATAATGTAAACTCTTTTTTACAACAATATTTTTTCAATATAAATCAAATCGAATTTTTTGGTTGAAAAGTTAAATATAGATGACAACTTCAAACTAATTTTTTTTTATATTTTTATTAATTATTTAAAACAAATGGAGAAATTAAAACGACCTTTGTCTTAGTAAAACATGGATCCTTTCTAATTTATGCGAATTAAAATATATTAGAAAAATTGATAATTGATTATTAAATAATTTTTCATTTCTAATTCTTATAAATGCTTTGATCAAAATGCATTATTTATAATAAATATACAAAAAATGTAAATTATTACTGTTCTCTTCCTGAAATAGCACAGTTGAATAAACTTTAGTAAACATTAAATATTTTGATAATTTCAATGACAATTTAGATGGCAGTGCAGAATTTCTGAATGATCATTATGTCATTCTAATAGAAGTAGAAAAGTTGCAATAATTGCTGTCTTAAACTTTAATTACCATTTGAATTTTGAGCTTTCACAACACAGTTAGATTACTCTTTGTAGCTTTACAATTAAAAAAGATATTACTACTGTACCAAAAAGTTATGTGTGCTGATTTAACGAGCATTTTTGACAAATTTCATAGAGGAAAAATTATAATAAAGAAGTTAAAATCAGATCACAAGTTGCCAAATTTATAAAATTTGAATGATATATTCACAGACTGAATTATGTTGTGCAATGAAATTAGATATTGAATTAAAAGTGAAGTGAAAATAATAATGGAAAATTCAAGCTTACTGTAACATGAAAACATTAACGTTTTTTTAGAAAATATAAAAAAGATTGAACTTTCTTGAATTGAAAATTTTAAAGTAACTATGTGTCTGAGGGAAATAACTGATTACGTCATGAATGAAATTGAATGGAGTAGTGTTAAGGGAGAATTGCACGATATGATATGATGAAAATTCGCATTGATGTTGGGAAACTCTCAGAGGAATTCTTTTGCTTTTTCTACTTTTTCGTGTGGAAATGTGTTTTTTCTTTTTTGCTGGCTTAACAATCATTCAATTAAGAATTGCTCTTGTTTAATTTAATATTTTCTTATTTGTTGTGCTTACAAATAAAAGCAAACTTCAATCTTCCCACAATGACGAAACTTGAAAACAAAGTCACTGACAGCTACTGCTAGCAGATAGGTTGACATGATAGGTGTGACTTCAAATTCTGTCTTACTCCATTTTCTGCAAAATGAATCTCGAAAAAAGATCATCAAACCATCAAATTAAGCATAACAGCAACTAATAGCTACCGTAAAATACCAATGGAATATAATAAAGACTGCAGATCTTATATGAATGGAAAGTTTTCATCCGCAAATTGTTTCATTGCGGCGTCAAATTTCAGTACTGTGAGCAAAACCCATTTATTTATTATCGGTACTATATGTGAGATAATCGCCTAATTTTTCTGAGCATAATTTGCTTTTTACTTAGTGTTATCAGTCAATCGCTCAATAAACAATCATTGGTTTCAATTAAATTCCTTTATAAGTTTATATATAAGTTTCTTTATAAGTCAATCTAACTTTCCTCCATAACAGTTACTAGTTGTATTTTCAATATCACGTGGATTAAATGTTCAAAATAATGAAATATTCTTACGAATTGAGATGACGGTAACGACGAACTGGTGAATTGGAGACAGCTGAAGTGCCCATAGGATGGATTATACTGATCCGGAATGTCGCTTTCATTTCTGGTTCATCGAAACAGGGTAATAAGCGACTTGCATCTGTTGGTTGCAGTTGTGTAAGTGCTAACAACCTACAATAAGAATGCATTTATTTAGATACTGTTGCATGATGAATTATTTCTTATGCCTCACCGAATTTATAAATTAATCATCTAGAAAATTATACAGGAATAAAAAAGAATATACATATAATATACATATAATTTGTTTTTCGGCACTTACAAAGCAAATAAAAAATTGATGAGCCATTTTTTTTTTTTCATAATTCTCTTTTCTTCTATGCTCATGAGAATCATTTCTCAGAAATATGTGACCATTTTCTGGCAAGCAGAAATTTTCTCGAATTGTTTATTTCAAAAGCAAAACTTAAATTTTGTGCTTAGTTCATTTTTGGAGAAATTCATCAGATATTACGGCATGGGGAAGAAAAAAGATAATAGTATATTCAAATTAGGAAAAAGAGATTATGTATGCATAATATATTTGTGCAGGATAATAGGCACCAAAATGTCTTTTCAAAATTATGGAAAATATATTTCCATGAGAATAAAAATAATATATGGATGAATATGTAATGAAAGGGAGAAGTATTTTGGATAAAATTATCTTTTACACAACAAAGTCTCCCATTAATAACAAAAAAATCATGTAAAGAAATCAGAAATTGTTGAATGCTGTATTATTAAATTTATTATTCAAAATTTGATTATTTAATCAAGAAAAAGAAAAAAAAGGAAAGCCTGAAAATCTGAGAATGACAAAGTAAGTTGAGAAATTGAAAATTTCTTCTTTTTGTTTGCAAGTTTGAAAGTTAATTTTCAAGAAATATAACTTGAAGAAAGTGTTGGAAAACTCGAGAATTTCTAATTTCATTTTGTAATTTCACTATAAATGCTTATCCAGTTGTCATAATTTAAATGTTCAAATAGCAAAATTATTTTTTTACCTTGAAGAGTGAGAGGGAGAAAGAGAAAGGGAAATGAAATTGTAAGAATAATTATAACTAGCCTTGTCTGTCCATTGATGTTGTATTGAGTCATGTAAAGACCACCAGTCCAAACATCATTGATAATACCCTGATATCTGATATAAATCACATAATCATGTCCAGAATGAAGTTCCCGCATTAGTATTATCTCAACAATATGAATATCATCTACTTCATGCTGATATCGATTTATACCGATCAATGGTATCGATTCGTTATGGCTGTCTTGCACTTCTATATCACTTTCATCAAATTTCAAATTTTTAGCATTTAAAATGATTTGATCGGTTGCATGCAAACAGACAATACGAATTGCTACATTTGCATGAATGCTGAAATTTCGTTCATTAAAATTTAAATCTTCCCGATATGGAAGAAATATTTGCAATTTGAGGTCATAATGTAATGGATGGATCGTAGTAGGTAGCCTGAAATATGGCTGAGAAGTAATAATGGAAATATTATTCGTGGAACTACGTTGATGTAACGTAGTTTGCAGCTCAAAACGTTGCTTGGATGAAAAAATCAGAAAAGCCAAGAGCAAAATGATGAATGCAAAAAAGATTGTAAATATGAGTAAAATTTGAATTTGAAACGGTGAACTAGTCTCCTTGTAACGTACTTTCGTTTCTTTTCTCATTCCTTACAGTGACAGCAACTGATAAGCGATCAAAAATTAAACTTCCAGTTTATTTTTTATTTGTGACTGCAAAGCAGAAACAAAATAGATGACAATTTCTTATTTTTTTTAAACGCACTTAGCACAAATAAATCGTTTGCAGAGTTAATAAACTTTACTCTCGTATACGAATTAAACAAATAACAGCAATATCCTCAATAAAATGAACTGCTGAAAAATTTCAAGCATTTATTTGACAGTTGTGGAACTTCAAGTTCTTTTAAAGGAGAGAAATAAACCAGCCAATTGAATATACATCACATTTGTCTTCAAGGTTCTTCGACGGTCTAATGATATTAATGATCGTTGAACTAAGTGATACAATTAGTCGCGTCTGAAAAACTTTTGCAAGGGTTGAAGCAATGAAAAATTAGTAAGAACTTGTTAAAATAATAATGGATAATTGAGTAAGATGACTGGATATTAGCGAAATATTGCAGGAAACAGTTTATCCGAGAAATTATCATTCAATAATTTAAGTAAAGCAATAGGTATTATAACTTATTAAAATGGTAATGTTGAAATCTGTAGCAGTTTAAATCTTTAGATTACAAAACACTTTTGAATTGATGAGTTAAATTAGCAAGTAATTGTTAACTGCATACAGAATATATATCTCGTTCAATCCAATGATAGTAATAGAGTATTATAGAAAGCAGAAAATTCAATTTAAAGAAGTGAAGAAAGGATTATATCAGAAATGGCTTCTTTCATGGATTTTGAAAGATATTTACTTTGACAGGTTATAAAAGGGTGAAAGTAAATAATTATGAGAGAATAAAGACTTGAAGTAGTATTGGTGATAGCAGAAATAGTAAAAATAATTGTAATAGTAGTTAGTGGTAGTAGTATGCTCGTCCTTCTATTAGTCAATTTGAACAATGAGCATTGAAATAAGAAGTGGTCCCCGAAAACAAAGTGGTAGTGTAAGTAAAATATATTGAGGATATGGAAGAGGATGAGGATAACAGGGCAAGACGGGTTGGATTAAAAGATTGGATTGAATGTCAGAGAGAGGGACAGACAAACTTTAGAAATGAAATTATATATTTGATTAAATTAAATCAATTTCTTCCTCTTCTCCCAGTGAGTAATAGCTTCAGCTAGAATTCAAATATACTTCATATATAGCTATTGTTAATTAATCGTGCCACCGTAGTTGTGCTTATTTTTCCGCCATAACTACACCTCTTTCCCTCAATTGTCTTCTTTCCCTTCTACTGACATAGTTTCAAATGAAGTTGGAATATTGGTGTAGAAGACTGAAAACAGAAAATGTTATTCTCAAAACGGCTATTTCAAAAAAGCATGTATAGATAAAAGAATAAATTAAATATGGATTGATTCAGTAAATAGATATTATAATGATAATAGCTTCTTATCCATTAAACTTTCATGCAAATTTAGCCCACAAGCTCCCGCATTAGCTTTAGACTTAACTACTTTATATTTAATTCATTTTTGGCGATATATTCAACCTAATTTTTCCTATTAATTCAGGACCAAAAAAAAAGAGCAAAAGATGTTACTGTCACATTTGTTTTGCACTCACATGTTGCAACTAATAATAAGATTGATAATATTATGAAATTAAATAATTGAAGAAACATTTACTTGATATTAGCAAATCTTTACGGTTAGGAATAGAAAGGCTTCATCCCCATCATTGAAACTTTGAACTGCTTGTGATTTGGAGCATGAAAAAAAAGTGTAAAAATTTGAACTTTTCCTGGACCACTCAACTTAGTTATTTAGTTCTATATAAGGACTAATTCTTGTAGAGAAACAATTTCCTCTCCTAATATAAAAATAATTATTGGTAACAACAATTATTAATAATAACTTGGTAATAATAGTTAAACTACACAATATCTACTGCTTAATATATGCCTTGACTATTAAAATGATTAGGGTATAATAATTCTACTTTTACCAAATATTACTCACAGATAATACTCTAGGAATAACTTTGTTGAAAACTGGTCCAATCCGAAAAATATACTACCGTACTTGGTATATTCATTTCTCTATTTCTTTGTTTCCGTTTATCTTTAGATGTATCACACACGATGTAACTGAATAATATCTGACTATACTTTTATTCCTTGACTGCACATATATTCCACACTACAAACTCCATAAATATGAAAAAGGGTAAAAATCCAAATAACTTCTTGTTTCCTAGCAACCGCTATCGTGCAACCTGTGGAAGAAGCAATCATTCATGTTACTTCAATCTTAAGAATAATTAGAAGTGGAAATATGCATTCAATCGGTGCAATACTGCGACATATGATTAGGGAGACAAATGCTATGAACTAGCGTGCTCTAAACAGAGAGAATGAGAGAATTTTTAAAGATTGAAAGTTTATTCTGAAAGTCTTGAAATTTCACGATTCATCCTATAAAAAACTACAGAGTTAATATGTAATTTTATTCTTCTGGAGAAAAAATGTGCAACTTCAGTGTTGCAGCAGAGCAGAAAAAGAGGAAAAGCATCATCACCAAAACCACAGTTTATTATCAAATAATTATGAAAAATAAATTTCCACAAATTTAATATAATCGCAAAGGTTTGAAAGGCAGAGGCATAACGAGCACGTCAGTAACCAATAAACAGAGCAACACCTGAAGTTTACTACTTTATGAAAGTAGTAAACTTGAATAATAAAATGCAATAGTGTGTATTCTAGATTAACGAAGAATAATCAGGATATTTGCGCGACCGATTAATTGGTACAGTTATATCTACCTCATTTCATCACAGTAGAATTGGAACTTTAAATTAATTTGAAACACATATTTCTTCCATAAAAATAATAGGAAACAAAGATAAGATGCATAATTCGTTAAAAGTGCTTTTCAAGACAATCAATATGAAGAATAAACAACATATACAAATATGGCTAGTGTGAAAACCACATACTCAGCAAAACTGTGTAAGGAAGGAAGGAGTCTCTTTCAAGATTCGAAAGCTTTCAGAAATCTTAAGATCACTATGGTCATCGTAATATCAAATAAGAAATACGAAAGAGGATTAGTGCTGCTATATCGCAAATCTATCATGAAAATGCCTTGAAGACCCATAAATTTCATAAGATTTATCCAAAATATTATATTAGCCGAGATGTGGTGGAACAATTAACGAATGAGGTAAAAATCTTCTAATTTGAAAAATAATTATAAAAATCGGAAGACAAAAACTGATAAGTTCCAAGCATAAATCTTTTTCAAAAATTATCTGATTTTTCTGATATGCCAAAAGCATATACTTATAATTTCTGTAATTTTACAAATGGCTTTTCACATCTATACAACATGTCGACAGCATTATTAAAAATGACAAAGTTCAAAATTAAAACCAATAAGAAATTGTGACTGAAAGAGATACATTTAACCGCTATTCAAAAGATGAAAACAAATGCATAAAATCTATATTGAAAACGACTTAATCACAAATGTTAAAAAATAGAGGGATCAATAGAAGGTTTTTACCCGTGAATAAAATGAAACTAAATTAAAGGAAAAAAAAAAACAGAATGGAGAGAATTATGAAATATAATCGAGTGCGATGGATAAAATATAGGATATACGTGAGGAAAAAAAAAATGACTCAATAGAATTCTTTAAAAAATATTACCCACGGCAAACGAAAGCTATCAATTTTGTGAATTAAAAAATCATTAAGAGGCAAATACTTCTTATAATAAAAATTTTTGGATCACAGTGATACCATATGATACTTCTTACAATACCTTTTAACGATTACCGGTGCAAGATCTTAAAGTAAAATTTTGTACTTCAGCTTTGGTTATTGAGTTAGCAACAAAGTTAGTGCAGATGTAATTAAATTCATGGTAGTTCCAGTTATTTTTAGTGGAAACTTATTGTTTCTTTTCCTAAATGAGCACTGATTCATTGAAAAAAAATAAGTAAATACAATTTGTGAATGTAATAATGTGAAGCAATTTTCTGCTTAGAAGAATTTAGAGACAGTAATGTACAGAAAACAATAGAATGATTACGCAAAGTGAAATAATACAACAAAAATGTAATTAAAATAGTAATTTGAAAAATAATTAAAATACCTAATAATGAGACTACACGTCCCCGGAAACACTGGTTCCTATTATGTATCTGCTGAAAAAAAACACGACATTAGTCCGGAAGTAAGAAATAGTCATCATTCAGTGTTTCGTCCAAGTTAGGGCAATCTGTAGCAGAAACAGGTTTAATTTTAATGGAATAACAAGTAGCACCGTCCTTAGACCTGTTTGACAATCCTCAAAAAAAATTTCGTTCAAAAGTTGTATTTTTTTGTATCATCAAGAATTTTATCTTCACTAAATTGATGCTAACTTAACATTGCTACAGCACTTTGGGAAGAAACAAAAGAGAGAACGTTATAACATATAAATTTTATATTGCGAAAGAAACTAAAAACTAAAGATGGCTGTACTAATTACGCAACAAGTACCAATTACCTAGATTTTTTCAATTCTAGACAATCGTCAAAAATTATAACAAAAACAAAAAGGCTGAATTAAACCTACGATCAGTAACTCGCTGAGAACTGTCATTTTCTGATGATCCTTCTTCCGGCAACAATTCCGGCTCTGACATTTCTGGAGATGATACTACATACACTACTCCCTGAAACTGCGACTAAAGTTTAATAACATGTGAATAAGTTTGGATTTTAGTTTTATCATATAATATTATTAAATTCAGGAGATGGAGCAATATAAAGATTTAAAACTGCATATAGAATGTCCGTTCATTTTCTCCTTCAAAGAGAAACGATTTCTATTTTTTTTTCGAAAGCTATTTTCATTTCAGCGCTAACTTAATAACATGTTCGGTTAGGGAAGCAAATTTCCAGATTGACAATTTCAAACTTATTTTTTTCAACTTTCACATATAAGGAAATTTGGATTAATCTCAAAAACTTTTGCGCTTTT